CACACACACACACACACACACACACACACACACACACACACACACACGCAGTAGATTAGAGCTTTGGTATGAAATAATTCTAACATAGAGTGTTGTATAAAAGATGAATTCCCCTCAGAAAATCTGCTTTCCTTCACATTTATCATATTTCAAAATGTTCTGTACGTATGGTAATGTCTGTGACATCACAGAGTAGGGTCAAGCAAGACAACCTCTCTGTCCAAAAATTCTTTCTACGTGATGGGTGAAGACGATCTTAAAAGGCTGTCTGAAAACCTCCAAAAGCTGAAAAAGAAGCATTTCCCTTTCATGGTGTGAGACAGCATAATAGGTGTAAAATAGGGGGCAAAACAGGCAGTTGTCTTAGCCCCACCAGATGGTGAATCACTGGAATGCCCACATGCATTAGTCCTGTTCTTAAACATAACACTTGTTATAGGTCAGGTTAAGACTTTAAGGTTGAATCATCTTCTAAGGGGGTTTTTCTTTGTGAGTGTTCTGTGTGGGTCAGTGAACAGGTGGTAGGAAGAGAGTGTGTGTCAGACAGTGAGTAAATTACTCTGTGTGTGTGTGCATACTGTACAAGTGTATATTGTATGTGTAATGCATCACAGGGGCTGGTGTTGTGTGCTGCCTCTGTGTAGGTCACAATCATATTTGAACAGCTGCACTCACAAACAAAACACTCAATGGCCTCCACAGAGAAACTGGGTCTCTCCATCTGAATGCATTGCAGGAGTTCATCTCCAAAGCATTTTGTAAACACAAACAACCATTAACAACAACCAAGCAGTCAACATTTGTCGCATCTTTACTGTGTACACGATTAATTATTCATGATACATGAGGCAGCACGAGCTAGACTGTATGTGTATCGTCCAGGTGTTCTGTCGGTTAGCGGTTACAAAATCACACTGTTTTCTTTTAGCACAGCAGTACACACAATCATAAATCAAACTGCATCCATGCGCGTGTGTCTCCATTTCAATAGCTGCATATGTTAGGCCTGAGTCAGTGAATCGACTGCAGCTGCGAGTATGTGCTGTCTCCTGGGCTAAAAAGAAGACCAGCTACGCTACACACTGATCTCTACCTCAGTTTAGGCTCTTTGTGCAGACGGTCACACGGTGGCATAAGCTGTTATTCGGCTCTACCCAGGAGGATACAGGTTCCTAGCATGCAAACGAGTCTAAACTGCATGTTAGATCTTCTGACAGTACATATAATTCTTCGGGGAAAAATTGTAAAGTTTCTCCCTTAATTCTTCCCTTTCCAAACGTCCGTCAAGAGCTGGCTACATGCAGGCCGATCTGATCAGAGTGAATTAAAGACATGTGAGTCAGGCTTCCAGTGGAGCCATTTCACTTCATAAACCGCCTTACAGACTGGCACCGGATCCAAAGGAGAGACTGCATTTTGGAATGAAAGGGGCATGTGTCAGACATTTTGTGGAGGTTTTTGAGCAGCTAAATGCGGCCTTGTGGTTGAAAATGTAACTGAGCTCCATTCTACAGATGTGACACACGAATGACATGGAAATGTCAGCTAAAACCACTTCAGGTTGTAACTTGTTGCATAAAGACTAACTGGCCAGGTTGAGCAAATCACATGAGATTATATCTATACAACATACCACCAATAGTTGTCATGATTGTCGACATGATCATCTCCTTTAAAACCACCGTATGGTTAACTATTCTGAATGTATCGTCTGTTTCCTACTGACAGCGGCTCCATCTCAGATCTAACACGGTGTAACAGAGGCATCCTAACCCTCGTGTTTTCCTCCCGACAGCCACGACATAACCGCCCAGGAAGTGCGGGTTTGCATGGCTGCCACGGTAACAGGAGTAGAGGGAGGACAGAGGAAATGTGAGCTTTGTGACGGAGCGGAGCAGAAGCGGCGGCCTTATGTCCTCACACAGAGCGTAACCTCTCTCAAATGACTACGGCGTGGTGTCGGGGCTCCCGGCCTGATCACAGTCCCACAACTCATCCTGTCTTCTTCATAGCATCCTAATAGCATCCTTTCCATCTGATGAACTAGTGCACACAAACAAGGCCATGTCTTCATCTGCTGCACACATTGGAGAACAGACAGCAGACTCCTGTCCTAAAGAAACTCCAATATGATATAATATACAAATAAACTTGTATTACTATACAATGTTTCTAAGTCAGATTTATACTGCTGATACAAAGCTCAAAGTTCCCTTGTTATTGAACATTGATCCATCAACAAGCCTTTTATTCATCTAACGTGCTATTTAATGCTCCTTTACTGCCCTGCAATGTTTTCACTTCTCTCCCACATCAAAAAGGCTTTCCAATCTTTATGACACCTCACAACACTCCATTAAAACATTTACCACTGAGGTCTATTGTTTAGCCTTGCACTAGTAATTGCTTTTAAGATTGACGACAATTGCTGTCTTGCCGAGCGGTGATTGCATCAATATTTCACAAAAATGACGGACACAGAGGCAGTTATCGCCACACCACCTTCTGTTTTTGACTTTAAGTTAAAAATGCTTTCGAGTTTAAGGATGTAATGCGTCAAGAATCTATTCCACACTGCTACTGCTGTCAATACTGTCGCCAAGTCTTTCTCAGATACAAACAGGAAGTAGAAAAGAACAAATGGATTGCAACAGAAAGTTCTTTTTAACCAGTTGAGAAAGTCCTCGCTGACATTTGAACAGATACAAACGTTTTCCAGTCACTTCCTCTCCATCGACTCCTCTACATCTGCATGAATATTTTTGCTGAAACTAGATTAGGTGACCGCATCTCCGAGATTAGAGTTAAAATCTTCCACTGTTATTCTGCTCAACATCAGCAAATTTACCTGAATATAGGTGTATGACCGGGTTTGGGTTTATTCCACGAGAAGTGAGAGGGCACCGAGAGGAACTGTTCCCCGGGCCCATCTTTCTTCAGGCTGTGCAAGCCGTCGTCTGAAGGAGAGTCCAGATTAGGAGACATATTTCCTTGGTCATCCAGCCCCAGCTCCCCTTTCCCCGTTTGCATAGACGTTCTGTCTTGTGAGGTCTTCCTCGTCTTGGATGGGATGTCTGCCTCGGACGGGCAACACTGGAAGGGTGACATGCCCACAGAAGGACTGCCGACCCAGGTGTCCTCTGTCACGCTGCCCCTGGGTGACGGTCCCGGTGTGGCCGTGGGTGAGTGATGGGGAGACAGCGAGCCGGGGTAGCAGATGTCGGCGCTGGAGTGGCGCCTCTTGCCGCAGGGCGAGGTGGGACGCGAGGAAGGCCTGGAAGGCGGCCGCGGGCTCAGCCAATTTTCGTCAGTGACACTGGTGCGTGGCGAGTGACAGGGGGACTGTCGGGGCGACAGGCTGACGGAGTGAGAGTGGTGCACAAAGGCGGGGTGGTGGTGCTGCCAGTGGGGCTGCTCCTCCAGAACCCCACCGCCGGTTTGAGGGGAGACACAGCCCGGGGAGGTGAGAGGGGAGCCCAGCGTGAAGCGCGCGGCCGCTTCATTCAGCTCGGAGTCAACGTCGTCGTAGACGTGTGAGAAGGACTCACAGGAGGAGGCGTCAGAGAACCAGCTCCTGGAGGAGAGGCTGCTGCACGGACTGGGGCTGAGCGAAGAGTCCCGGTACGCGTGGTCCAGGGGCAAGTAAAGGTGGTCTCTGGACAGGGGCCTGTCGCCGTGGTAGTCCCCATCGGGACAATTGGCCCTCAGATCCTCCTCATTGGCATCCATCTCCTGCTGGCAGCTGGGGGAGATGGAAGTGATCTGGATACTGGGGCACTCAAAGGCCTTCGGTGCCTCCAGGGGAGCAGAGGGCAGCAGAGGGGAGGTGCCATACTTGGAGGCCTGCGCCCCATAGCTCGGAGGCTCGGGTCCTGGTTTGTGCGAGTAAAGGCGTTGGGAGTTGCTGATGATTTGGGAGTGGGACTGCATGCCATGGCGAGGCAGGCCGATAGACTGGTGGTTGGTGACCATAGACTGGGGCTGGCCCACATTTAGGATGTAAAAGGACGTGTTGTCATCGGGCTCCAGGTCTAGGAGAAGAAAACAAAAGGAGAGATTAAGAAACAGCAATCTCGAGGTTATTTTCTTATTGCTGTTACTTTTCCCTTAATGTTCTTAGTTTGACTTCATTGTGTTAATGAAACAGAATACAAATTCCTCTAGGCAGCAACATCCAGAGCAACTCTCATCAAGACGTTCAAAAGCGTATGTTGGTAACACATACTTTGGATTAAAATAAAATAGTATTTAGAGTTCAAAGACTACACCTTAGTTGTGTCACAGCTTCTAAAGCCACATTGTTGGGATAGCTACCTCGGGTTGTAGGAGCACAGCTACGGTTGTGTTTATCACACAAAAGCACTAGTAGGCATAGAGTTGATACATTTGCATCTAACCAACCCTTTAATCATCCTGATAACAGTTTAAATCAGTCTGGCAGAGAGGAATAGTGTAAAAACATATAATAACGAGGTCATTTTCAACCAGGATTAGAGCTTCTACTTCAGCCAAGACAATGAAAGCATATTTGAGCATATTTGTATATTACTGTTTGGGTTGCTGTATATTTGTGCCTCGGGACTCCTTAAGCATGAACACAGTGGTCTGAAATCTCCTCCAGGCCTGTTAAACTCTGTCTTAAAAAGGGATAAGACTAGAAGATGTAATTGGTCATTATTATAAAGCCAACCTGCTGATACTACATTCCACCTCTGAGTAATGTATTCATCTTCACCGGGACCGCGCTTGAGTCCAAATTATTTGATCGCAGACCCATATACGGTTGCGCGCTGAGTTTGCGAATGAGCCCAGTTTCAGGAAAGTAGAGGCCAGAGTGTTGCTGGGTAGCAGGCAGTCATACAGGCATTGTTCCAACAGGGATAACCAATGAACAGCACTACTCAGGAAACAAATTCACACAACGGTGCGTGCTGTCCGCTGTCATCACAGCTAGCGCCGGCAGGCTATTAATACCAAAGGTCAACACATACACAAACAAATAGACAAGAGCCCAGTGTCCGCATTGGCACTACTCTGTTAGAGGTTATTGATAAACCTACACTGGATACGCTCTGCTGCTCTCACTGGGAGTAACCCAATGTTCGACATGGGAAACTTCATTGCACTTGCACAATAGAAACGCTTTGGGAATTATATATACAACATACATAACATACATATATAACCCACAACATGTAACCCATTTTGAATAGAAACAAAGCTTGAAAATAAAAAGCATCATGTAACATCAGGCTTCCTGTCATGTCCCGTCTTTGGCCTTTAAACCATGATGAATACAACTTCTGCTTAACAAAAAAAAAGAAGACGAAATGATTAATATCCTTCAGAAAATTACAAAATGACGAAGTTAAAAAATATAGGCCAATGAGATTGAGCATTCATTAAACGATGAGCTAAGCTGAAACCACACTGTGGCCGGCACAGGAGATGGTTGTGAAATCATCACACTTCCCTTTATTCCTTAAATGTATCTACCTGCCTCAAAAGATCATTTTTTACATTTGAAAACTAAAATAGATTAAGATAAACAGGCTATAGCTTGGTAGTAAGTTCATTTAAGTTCCCATATTTGTTTCCTCCGACTGTAAATGATAACCACATACCAGTAATATGAAAGCTTTGTTAAATCTGATATCAAAGATGGCCTCAAAGACGCTTGTAAAAAGGTGTCCTCCTCTCCTCTCTATCCAACAGCAGCAACAGAGGCAGCGAGCTTTATTTATAGCTGCTCAGTTTGGAACTGGCGCTGCCTGCCTGTCACAAGACCCGGCAACGGATCCTCTGACCACAACATCTGACTGACTGACGAGCAGCAAGAGGAGGACGACCGAGTCGATAGGAAGAGAAAGAAGTGTGACAGCCTGAAATGGGAAATAACACGAGGAGAGTGTCCCTGCTTCTTTCTATACAACATATAAAAAAACATAGAATTGCAGTAAAGATAAATCTCGATTAAAAGCATTTTTGAAACAATTTGTCAAAGAGGACAACAATAAACACATTGTATTCATTCTCCCTTCTAAAAGCCTCTATCCTAGAAACTTATTCAGACAAACATTATCACAACATTTTGGATTACAAAGACATGAATATCTCTGCAATAAAGGAGAGATAAGACATGAATCGTCATTTGCTAAAAAAAATCAGAATTCTGAATAGGCTTTTCCGGGTTGCTGCTGAGCTAAAACACAACTTGACACGCTTGTTTTAGCTCACATCACATTGAAACACATTCAAAAGAAATTGAATACAGATAATTCAGGGCAGGTCAGCACCAGGTGCTGTTGATTAGGTACTAATTACAGACTAATTACTAGCCAATTAAACCATTAAAGTTGCAACAGCTTTTTCCCTGAACTTTTATCTTGATAAATATGGAACTGTGTTTTTATTTATGCATTGTTTTGTTAGTGAAGCTTACTCGGAGGGTAAGTTTGTTCATTACAACTGAATATTATGTTAAAATATTGTCACATTTAAAAGATAAGACTAAACAGTCACAATTTGCTTCATCTACAAATCCCTGCACAAGTAATGACATATTCAATTCATAAGCTTTGGCAATTTATACTTCACGCAGAGCCTCCTGATGCCAACCCAAGCTGACAAGCGCTTCATCGACTGATGCACGTTTCATTAGGGCTGCACCAACCAACCGACCAACGAGCTATTTAGAACTTCTTACTGGACGAAGAAGAAACTAAACGAGAAGCTACAGTTGCTGGATCAATATGAAATGTGCGACAAAGAGCAGCAGTCACTAGAAGCTAACCTCACACCTGGGCATTGATGGTTCATGATCCGACACTGTGCGTTGTATTTTGTAGCCTGTGGTCACAGAAAACAACCTGTTTAGAGTAAACTACTGCGAAGAAGCCACCATTGTTGCTGCCGTGTCTGTTGTGTACTACTAGTAGCAATGGCAATAATCAAGTATATAGTATCATGTGATAACTATGTTTGGATAAAATGTATGATACATGTTAATAAACACATTACGGTGGGAGAGTCTTGGTCTTTGTATGAGTTATCCAAGTTGGCCCAGTGATTGTAATGAGAGCAGTAACTTGTCTCTGGGCTGTCTGCTTCTCTGTCTCCTCAGATAACAGATTAGAAATCCCTCTGCTGAGTTCATTTAAAATACTGAGTGCAGAAAGGATCCATCTGCTTTTCTATTTTTGCATCCTATACACACTATGAAGAGAGGTAAGTAGCAGTGTTGCACAGATACGGGTCAGACGGGGGACGACCATGTTACCTGGCTCACAGCCCTCTCCTTTCCCTGAGATAAGATTAGCCTGCTACCTAAAACCTTCCAGTGAGAGGAACGGGGTGGGTGGTGGGAAACCCCCCCGTCCGTCAGAGCCAAACACCAGTCACCTTAGGACAGGAGGTCAGAGAGGAGTAGTGGTATTGTGTGTTTTTTATCAACGGCCTTGGTTGCTAAAGCCCCTACAATGTTCCTATAAGCCTCCTCAGGTATCCATACATCAGACAGCCAATCTGGTTAAATAAAGATCTGTAAGAGGCTTTGCTGTACCGAAGATAATAATAGCTCCGCCTCACTGGGAGACGTTTCAGTGGAGTCCGCGTCTTTGTGGATGTTTGTGAGGCTCCATAAAAGAATGCCGTGTTCTCGCGCTAGCCACGGGGAACATGCCGGGACCCACTGGTGACGGTGGTGTCCACGTTGGCTCCTTGACACAACAAGCCTCTGGGTGACCGTCACACTCCCCGGGGATTCTCGTTTCGGGGGATAATCCGCAGAGTTTTGTTTGTGACCGGCGGTGGCACAAAGGCCCACATTCTGAGAAAGTACCACTGAGGGAGAGAAGGATTTATCTCTCCCAGAGAAGATGACGAGCTCATCGGTTACGATCTTTCTGTCTACCTCTCTTCATGTGAACATGTGCATGCGTATGGGTATAAAAGTGTGGGTGGTGTTTGAATGTGCGTATGCTCCTCTATGCCTGTGGTTGTGCCTCTGTGCCTTCCTGTGTCTTTTTGCATTTTGCTGTTTGGGTATATGTGAGTGTACCCTTGTGTGTGTGAGTGTTCGTATGCATATGTACGTGCGCACACCCCAACACATATTACTGTCTTAGGTTACCCGCTAGCCCCAACAGCATGTGTTGCTGGAGCTGGAGGGTAACCTTAGTCAGGGTTCCCTTTGTGGTGGGCGAGCAGGTTGATTAGAGCCGGCTCTGCTTACATCCCCGGCACAGAGGGCTTTGTTGTTCAGCCCGGTCTCCTCTTTCAGCTGCCGACCAACAGACCAGAGCACAAAGTGTGCCAACATGTCATGTACAGTACGGGATAAAATGTATACACCTCAGATAAATAATCAACTAACGGGACGCACCGATCCAACTCTTTCTTTCACATTTAAATCACGCATACTTCACCGTGTGGAGATGAAGCTCTACCGTAAGTTCAGTGAGGAAGATTACACGTGTTGCATGCCTCGGCCCGTCGCCTGTTTCTCGTACATCTCTGACTCCTCTCACGCATGCTCACTCACTATTTCCTTGCTGTCCTCGTTTTGGGGGGCTGTCAATCATGATATCAGCTGTTCTGATCAGCTGGTCTCTTCTATTCAATACAAATACATCGTTAGCCTTTCAACTTGCTGCCGTCTCCTGTTAAATACGATTGTCTCTCCACCTCTAGTACGTTCATGTTGCTGCTGCGCGCCCCTCCACCTCGCCTTCATCAACTCATCATTCTACGAGCCTCATCACCTGGACTCCACGGGGAGATTCATCTTGTAGATGTAGATCTTTTTTTTCCATCTTGATTTAACTCATTTGGGCTAATTTGTAAGTACCTTAAAACCACAGCAAGGATTGCTGAGTCAGTGGGCCGCTGTGACTTTCTGAAACTGTAAGAGAAATCATTGATGAAGGGTGTATACCTTGATACATTCAATCATTTATAATTCAACAATAACCCCTTTTAAAAACCTCTTTAAATCTTTTTTATTGCGGTTGTTATAGATATTTGCAGTGAT